GGAGTGTGAACTCACTTATCACCAAGGGGATGGTGCTAAACTACTCATGAGGGATCGGGCCTCCATGATTCCATTACCTTCAAGTCCATAATTTGGGCCTCCATGATTCAATCACCTCCAGATCTCATGCTGAAATGCCATTCCCAGGGTTGCAGGTTCAACATGAGATCTGGAAAGCACAAACATCCAAACCATAACAGTGAGTTTAGTTTTTATTTATGTTTTTAAAAATAATCTGTATGTTCTGATTATTCTAAAGTGATTGTACCAGTTCTGATTATTCTAAAGTGATTGTATGATTGTAGTTCACATAATCAAATACATCTATAACAAAAATGGAATGCTTTTAAAATGAAAAATGTCATTAGCTTGAAAATGGGGCTGCAGGGTTGTCCTCTGGCAGGGGAATGTTCTCACACATACCTTGTTACTGTGCTTGTTATCATGACTCAGTCTGATGGGAAAATGACACGCTTCACTACGGTCATTAGCTCACGTCGTTTTATCCTCACCCTGGCTCAGACACATAACTCACAGAGACATGCCTTTTTTTTCCCCTTAAAATCACTGAAGGTGTGAATCATAGCTACGTACCTTCCTGATTTAGGGCATATTTGTGGCAGAAATGCATGAATGAATACGATGATTATTTACTTATGAACCTAATCAGAGATTCAGGCATCAGTCTTCCCAGGATGAATTCAGAGGGACTTGGTTCAGAAGGAATAAATTACAGGGCATGTCCATTTGTGATGCACCTGCATAATATGCAGATGTTGTCTTCACACGATTATGACTGCCATGATACATGCATTTTGCATGGTTCTATTTTAAAGGATATAGTTGTTAAATTGCCAAATTTATACTTTTAGATATTTTTCCAATTTGTTTTGGTTTTGGTTTCGGTTTTGAGACAGAATTTCCCTCTGTCACCCAGGCTGGAGTGCAGTGGTATGATCTCGGCTCACTGCAACCTCTGCCTCCTGGGTTCAAGTGATTCTCCTGCCTCAGCCTCCCACATAGCTGGGATTACAGGTACACCCCATTATGCCCAGCTAATTTTTGTATTTTTAGTAGAGACAGGGTTTCACCATGTTGACCAGGCTGGTCTCGAACTCCTGACCTCAAGTGATCCAACCACCTCGGCCTCCCAAAATGTTGGGATGACAGGCGTGAGCCACGGTGCCCAGCTGTTTTTCCAATTTGAAACGACCACCTGAAACTTTTTTTAATGACTGCAAAATATGACTTGTCATTAAATGGTCAGATTTTAAAAGACCTAGAAAACTCAAAAGAGGTAACAATGAAGTAACTATTTTTAACATAAAATAATTTCCTCCTCACCCACCTTGCTCAGATTTCCTAGGTCACCTTGAAAGGATCTGTGCTTTAGAAGCAAACCTTAACAACGATGTTCCTATCATTTAACACTTTAAAAAACCTACCTTTTGATTCTAATGAATTGATGTATCTTTTTGATGGTTATTTCTAACATAGATGAGGAACTCTATTCTTCTGGCAAGATAAAATAAGGATAATTAACCTCTAGGAAAAATAGGGGCACAGTTTTAAAATGCATAAAAAACAATTCTTTTTTTTTTTTTTTTTTTTGATAGGGTGTTACTGTGTTGCCCAGTTTGGAGTGCAGTGGTGTGATCTCTGCTCCCTGCAGTCTTGACCTCCTGTGCTCAAGTGATCCTCCCACCACAGCCTCCTCAGTAGCTGGAACTATAGGTATGTACCACCATGCCCAGCTAATTTTTATATTTTTGTGGAGATGGGGTCTTGCTATGTTGCCCAGACTGGTCTTGAACTCCTAGGCTCAAGTGATTCACCCACTTTAGCCTCTCAAAGTGCTGGGACTACAGACGTGAGCCACAGTGGCCTAGCAATTATTCTTAACTGCAATGTACTTTCTTTTTGAAGGCAAAGTCAGATTTGGACTTACTTTATGTTTATTTAAAAAGGATATTTTTCTACTTTCTTCTTTCTCACCTTAAGTGCCAGCAAACTAGAGCTGAAAAGTCTTCAAATCTATTGGCCTCCTGTGTTTGTCACTGTTAATTGTTTCTTCAACCGGCACTCTCCCCCTTCTTTCTATGATAAGGACCCTGATTTGACAAGGCTGCCCGTGTTCCCAGCGCCAGGGCGTAAATGAAGTCAAACCTAAGCCACTCATGACAAATTTGTCTCCTGTGTAACTGGTCTAGGCACAAGCACATGAACCATTTATAGACAATGAGACAGGACGGGAAGTCTTAAAGCACTGGAAATATATTTTTCCTTGACACATAGAAAGTAGTCACACCTAGTAAAGACCTTCAACTGCACTCACATTCCGTCCTGCTTTGTGGGGACCACATGATGGTGCCTGAATCTGAGGCAACCACCTAGGGACCATGAACGACTAAGCCTTAAGTAAGCTAAAGAAGGCAGGAGAGGATGAAAAAAGATCTCCAGGAATTTCCAAGTCAACCCTGGGAGTGCCCACCATGGTAGGCTAAACAATGGTCTGTCAAAGATGCCTGTGTTCTAATTCCCAGGACTGCTAGGTCAGTCCCTCCATATAATTGAACCTCTGTGGAATTGAAGGATCCATGGAAGAAAGATGAAAATCGTTTTTTTATGTAAAAGACAGAGCCAGTATACTAAAATCACAGAGTGGTCACTTAATAGTAGGTTTTGAAAAACTAATTTGCATAGGAAAATACTATACACAGTTTTAAAATCAAATTGATACTGTCTTGGTGCCATTTTAAAAAATTAGAACAGAATTCTAAATGTGCAGATCTGGTAACTCTGTAAGTATGTTTTTATGGTAGAGTATGGTATTTCTTTATTCCATACTTTTAAAACAATAGATAAATACAGTTTCTGTAGTCTATATGCTGAATTATAGTAATAGGCATGTATATGTTGTTTACATTATAATTACATTTCCCATATATTATGTCATTGAATCTTTACAAAAACGTGTGTTAAGTATTATATTTCCCAGTGAATTCTAATGCCTAAATGCTTATTATCTAGAAAAGTTCAGAAAACTTTTTCCGTAAAGAGCCAGAGAGTAGATATTTTATGGTCTCTATCACAACTACTCAACTCTGCTCTTCTATTTTAAGGCAGCCTAAAAAATATGTAAATGAACGAATGTGGCTGTGTTCTAATAAAAACTATATTTGTAAAAATAAGCAGCTCCCCTAGGCCGTAGTTTGCCCAACTCTGACCGAGATAATTTATTCCACACTGATTTGTGAATGGTGATCTTGTGTGTATGGTGAGCTTGTATTCTGCCACCTTGCTGAACTCACTTACTAGTTTTCATCTTTTTTTGTACACTTCTTGGGATTTTCTACATAGACAATTAAATACACACTCCTAAGTGAAATAAACCAAATTCAAAAGGTCAAATACTGTGTGACTTCACGGCAAAAGGCAAAACTATGGGAACAGGAAATAGATTCGTGGTTGTCAGGAGGTAGAGCAGGGCATGCGGTAGATTACTAAGCGGGATGAGGGAGGTTTTGGAGGGATGAAACTAACCCCATGTCTTTGTAGAGGTGGTTAATTTACATATGGTGAAAGTCACTGTTTTAATGTATGGTTCTGCAAAATATATCAAATTTGTCAAATTTTGTAGAACCAAACATTAAAACGATAAATTTCACCATATGTAAATTATATTCTAATTGAAAATTAATTCAAAAATCAGATCTCTTGACTTGTTCTATTCTGTTCTTGGATAAAATCACAGGCACAGTTCAGAGTCTTGCTGTTTCTTTTTATTACATAAAAAATCTCACTGTAGTAATTGGAGTCTTGTGCAGTATGATACCAAAATTCTGCCTTTTCATTCAATTTAACGTTTCTTTTTTTTTCCATTTCAGGCCCTTGTTGAATTAGAACACTGCTGCTAAAATCGAAAGCATGGTAAGTTTTTCTCTTTCTCATTCCTTCTCCATGTCCCCTTCCTATAAAATTGGATAAGAGGAGAGAAAAGGAGGTAAGTGAGCAGAACATGTCTTACCTCACCTGCACAGTAATGACCTGGTGTCAGCACCTCCTAGCTAAAGTGAACTCACCTTTTCTCTTGTTATATGCTTTTGTGAGTTTCTGGAAGAGCATTATGCAATCTCTGGACGTTTTGAGAAAAGTCAATCAACATGTGTTTAGGGGAATCCCACTGTGTGGGTCATTCTCAAAGGCAGCTCCAACCTCTCCTCCTGCCATGTATGCTCACCCCACTCCTCTGATCAAGAAAGGGAGTTTCGTTCCCCTCCCATAAAACTTACACTGTCAGTTTTCAAATTTAAATTTTATTTAGTTAAAGTTACAAATTAAGTGTCTCAATTGCACGAGCATCATTTCCAGTGCACCATTTCCGGTATTCAATCTACCTTATAAATATAGATGTTCAGTGTCTACCTTATTGAGGCAGATGAACCAACATCTTCCTGGAAGAGCAGGAACCCACAAAAGTAGTTTTGTGTCTAGGAGGATCACAAGTAATACCTTGGAGTTCCAGTAGAGAGGCTCCTTGGAGTTTCTAGTGTGATGGCCACACACAGCTTTCGACTAGCATTGTTGATGAAGGTTTTTCCATAAGGCAATTCCTTTTCCTCAAATTCACTTCACAAAACTCCAGTTATTTTGAAAATTTCTGCAGCCCAGGGTTCAAGCTGGCTCTCTCTGATTTGGGGTCCTACCCCATAATGCTTATTTGGCTTATAAAATCCCTCGGTTCCTTGTCACCATCAAAGTGGAGTGGCTGCAGAGCAGTGACAGTTGTGAGACCTATGAATAGGAGTATTCTGTTGGCAAAGGCAAATGCTATGTGGTGGAGGTGAGCACAGGTTTCTCATGGAATCCGGATGTCCAGCCTCACAGAAGGATGACTTCCTACAAGACTACCCTTGTGGGGTAGTCTGTGTGCAAGGCTTGCTCTATCATCCTCTTCTCCCTGAACATTTGAGCCTTAACCACATCCTCCTTGTGAACAGTTAAGTCCTGAGCTAACTTTAGAGAAACCCCGTGCTTTTTTCCTGAGCGGCCCATGCCTGCCTTGCTCTGTGGACCCAGATGCATTATGGCACTTGGTACTCAAGGAACACATTCTTGGCCATGGGCCATGGGTCACTCATTCAGTTTCTCGGTTGCACTGGTATCATTTCCAACGCATTGCTTCTGGTGTGTTCAACATCTACGTTATTGGACAACGCCTGGTTGGAGAGTCACTCATGCTTCTTACAAGTAATGCTATTTAGGTGCTTCCAAGACAGCCATGCCTTGGTCACTCTGCATGGGCTTAGAAGACAGGAGCCTGCCAATTACAGAGAGTTTACTTTTGGCAAAAGAAAGTCTATTTTTGTCTTTCCTCTTTCAGTGTTTCTCAGTGTTGACATTTGTTCACCCTAAATACATGTAATATGTATGCAATTTAGCTCATTTTCATCATTGTCTCATGATTTAAAATGTCTTCCTTGATTGACCAAGTTTGAAAGGGAGAGGCGAAGCAATGCTGTTTGTGTTTGGTTTGTTTTTAGCTCTTAGAAGTAGAACCTTTAGAAAGTTAGTGGGTGCTAAATAGACAGGCTCAGTCCTCCACCTTCATATGTTCATATTGTTTCTGTAAACTAAAAGTAAAATCCTAAGCCCTCAAACTGACCAAGAAGTCTTGGCCAAGAGGACCCCAGAGAAATCTGAAAAACATAGTTCTGTATGTGTGATGGAAGGTCAGACATACCTCTCTATATCCCCTTTTGGAGTTTAGACAAAACTGACCAGCATTAATGTTAAAATAGAGATTATATGACTGACAAAACAGACTGTGGCAATAAGATACCAAATCATAAACAAGACATAAGGCCCTGCAAAGTAAGAGTTAATTTGTGGCTGCAGACCATTAGTCTTGCTATGTATCATCTTTATCTTACATCATTTCCTCTTTGGGAGGCCAAGGCGGTGGATGGGTTGAGCCCAGGAGTTTGAGACCAGTCTGAGCAACATAGTACAACCCTGTCTTATAAAAAATAAAAAAAAAAATTGGCTTGGGGTGGTGGCACATGCCTGTAGTCCTAGCTACTTGGGAAGCGTAGGTGGGAGGATTGCTTGAGCCCAGGAAGTCGAGGCTGCCATGAACTGTGATTGCACCACTGCACTCCAGCCTGAGCGACATAGCAAGACCTTGTCTTAAAGACAAAATGAACAAACAACAAAAATAAAAATCTTTTTTTCAGATCTCTCTTTCTAAAAAGAGCTTTACTCCTTTAACCCATTGCAAATTGAAGATTCTCTGAATCCACCTTATAACCTGTAACCACCCCCCACTTCAAGCTATCCTATCTTTTTGGGCAGAACAAATGTATACCTTCCAGGTATTGATTTATGTCTTTGCCTGTAACTCCTGCCTCCTTGAAATGTAAAAAATATACTGTAATCCAGGCAGGGCATTGTGGCTCATGCCCGTAACCCCAATACTTTGGGAGGCTGAGGTGGGCAGATCACCTGAGGTATGGAGTTTGATACCAGCCTGGACAACATGGTGAAACTACTTCTCTACTAAAAATACAAAAATTAGCCAGGGGTGGTGGCACGCACCTGTAATCTCAGCTACTCAGAAGGCTGAGGATGAGAATAGCTTGAACTCAGGAAGCAGAGTTGCAGTGAGCTGAGAATGTGTCACTGCACTCCAGCCTGGGTGACAGAGCAAGACTCTGTAAAAAAACAAAAACAAAAACAAAAAAACTGTAAAGTGATTGCCTCCGTTGAGACTGTGGTTCCCAGGGCCATGGTCACTCATACTGGCTCAGAATAAACCTCTTTAAAACATTTTACAAAGTTTGTTTTTTCTTTAATATTTTCATTCTCAGAGGATCCCCAGGAATCTATGTCAGTAATTACCTGAAGCCTGTTCTGAAGTTTTATGGAATCACCCCTGCTGGCTCCATGTAGGAGAATGACACAACGGCAACTACGTAAAACAGAGACGTAGAGTCTTCTCTCTAGCTGGGACGCAGCCCCACACCCATCAAGGCTCCCCTTGGGGAACGAAGCCAGGCAAATACGGAACAACCTTCTTTGTGAGTTTAGATGAATGACGTGGGTCAGTCTCCTTCTGCCTTGCTAAAACCAGAGAGTCATTTACTTGTTTGGAGCAGTAGAAACAAAGGCAATTTTGAGCTACTGGAGTGTGAGATTTTGACTTCCTGTTAACATGGATCTCTTCCCAAGTTGCATCCCCATGCTCCTGTTAAGATGCTTAGATTGATCTCTGAGAGGAAGGCACAGCAGGTCCTTCATTTCATTTTCGCAGAGCAACTTGAGAGCAACATTGTGAGTGGATGAGGAGGTAAGAGTGAGTTTGGCTCTCATTCCCATGGGCTATGTTTGTGTATGACTATAGAGGCTGGATGTGTGCAGTTGCCCTTTCTGGAACATAAACCTACCCAGGGGTGGTCAATTCTTCAAGTGCAATCAACTCAGAGTGATCTGACACAGGGTTGTTAGAGTTCTAATTAAGAAAATGTATAAAGTGGAGAAACTTGGAAAACTGAATGTTTGAAACTAGATACATGTTGGTTTCATTGAATTTTCCTTTGCTCTTTTTTTTTGGAGAAATTTAGATTTTTAAAGCAAAGCAGAAGAACAGAAAATGGCTGTCATGGAGAAGAAAAATAAGAGAGAAGTTCAAAATAAAGTGATGGGGAAAGGGTCAACTTCTGCGGCACAATGGCCAGGATTATCACTGAGAGAAGGCAGTGAAAGTGGATGGGAAGGTCTCTCCCTTTGACCTCTATTACACAGACAGCATCCAGAGGCACAGTCAGTAAGGAAAGGTGAAAAGCTGAGAGACACACGATTGGCTAGGTACAACGATCTCTGCAACTGAAGGTTAGAAACATGATTTCACTGACACTCTTATGAGAACTAGAACAAGTAGATGAGGTACCACCATTTTGGAAAACTATGTGGCACTATTAACTAACAGCAAAGCAATATTGTCTAACACCTGCAGTTAGAATCTATTCATCAGTACTACTCGTGATTATTGGCCAAGGAAAATGGGTGCATATGTCCATCAAAACACATACACAAAAACATGTTTCTAGCAGCCATATTCATAACACCTAAACCTAGAAATAATCCAAATCACTACTTAAAGTTGAATGGATAAAAAATATTGTGGTGTAATACTATGGTGGAATACTGTGCTGGAATTAAAAATAAAAAGTAAAAAATGTGTTATTGATATACACATAGCAACCTGGATGGATCACACAGAAATAATGTGCAAAAGATGTTACCCAAGGGCCAGGATTTGTTTTATTTCATTAATAAGAGATTTAAGAATAGATAACAATAAAAAACATGGCGATAGAAGTGAGTGCTGAGAAGATAGAGTGCTGAGTATTTAAAAGGGCAATAAGGAGCCTTCTGGGGTGTTTGTGTGTGTGGGTGTGTATATATATGTATATGTGTGTATATATGTATGCATATGTATATATTTGTATATATGCATGTGTGTATATGTATATATGTGTATATGTGTGTATGTGTACATATGTGTGTGCATATATGCATGTGCATGTGTATGCATGTGTGTATATATGCATGTATATATGTATGTGTATATGTGTATGTATGTGTGCATATACATGTGTATATGTGCATGTGTGTTTTGTATTTGTGTGCATGTGTGTATGTATATATGTATATATGTATATATGCATGTGTATTATGTATATGTACATGTATGTGTTTATACATAAGTATATATAAATATATACATAATATATACACATATATTTAGAAATACACTTGAGATTCCACCATACATATATTATACATTTATACATGAATAACTTTGTTAAATAGTGAATTTTATTTTGAATTAGGAAAATAAGCAATAAGAAAAATAGGCCATAGCTAAGAATTATTGAATCTTTATGATGTCAGGCATTTTATATTTATTTGCTCGTTTTCTCCAAACAATAAACTTATAATGTACTGAATTTTAATCCCTGTTGTATAATGAGGAGACCATGGCTCATGAAGGCTAGTAAAAAATTTGTCCGAGACTCATCCACAGCAGATGAAGTAGCAATGTCGACACTTGAACTAGCACTTCACAGCAGAGTCTGAGAAGGAAAGAGACTGAAGCAGAGGGAATACTAAGAAGGATATTCTATAGAGGAAAAAAGACGAAAAGGAAAGTGGAAGGAGCGTGTCAAGTCTGCCCCCGTGTTTGCAAATCTCTTCCAAGGTGCTTTAAAAACCCCGTTCTAGGATGGCCAGCCATCCAGGTGTGGCATTGAAAGTTCTGCATCCTTGAAATCCTCCTCAGGCTGTGAACAATCCTGAATTTTACTAATGGGTGTAAAAGACTTTGGAGGACAGTATAAGACTCATATGGCAGCCCCCAAATGGGTGAATGAACAATACTGATTTGAGTATCAAAGGGTCTCAGCATGGCTATCTACCTCTGCCCTGGCTGTCTCTTTTCTTTCGCCAGACCACCTTGGATGCTGGCAACCATCATCTGAGGTTCACACTAAGGGATCATTCATTATTCCATTTCCCTCTCTCCCTGTGATGCAACTTAAGTGCATCGAAGTCGTCAGCACTAATGGTTCTCTTTAACTTTGCCTGTGGATTAACTACTGTGCTTTTTATATAAATAGTGCTCATTTATTTTTTTTTAACATTGTGACTATCGTGACCATGTTTTGTAAAAGTACAGATCATAAAAATGAGAATGAGTATGATACTAACACCATCATGGCGCAGGCATAATGTTTTAAAAAGGTGCTATTTCAATGGCAGACACATAACAATAGATAGGGAGGTAAGTCACCAAAACAAAGCACCCTGTACATTATGCAGAAAAGGATTGGACATGGGCATTGTAGTAAAGAGGATGTGATCCCATGTATGGAGACTGAATCTCACAAGTCTTGGATGGGACAGGTAAGCACTTGTAAATCAATCACATTGTCTCATCTCCTCAAAAGACACTAATGTCAATTGAAAATAGTGGCTACTGAATGAGCCTGGCAGATGCCACAAATGAACATACCTGGTTTTATGGTTCCCTTGTCCTGTCTAAGAAACTGGCTAATGTTCCATATCTCAATCCAATGGTTGAGACTAAAATGGCTTACAGGCAAACGAACAGGGGAGTCTGATGACCAACGTATAGGCCCTTGCCTATACAGTCGATTCTGTCAGCTCTCATCAAAGGTCCTGCTTTC